AGTCCTTGCCTGCCTGCCTGCACCATTGGGTTCACCAGCACCAGCCATTTGTGACAGAGCCAAGATGAAAACAAATATTAAAGATGCTGCCAGTGTTTCATCATGGTTTCCATGGTAACCATGTATATAATATTATTGATAAGACAGACAGACGGAAAAGCAGAGCAGAAAGTGAGCCTCAAACAGTCATTTGGATAAAAACGATAAGATGTAATAAAAAGATTCCTGAATAGTTTTCATATGTAGATTTTTATGAGTCTGCAGTGTTTTATGCAAGGTAAAGAGACTTAGTTTTCAGTTTTAACAAGAGGTTTTTGAGGTCAGACTTGGTGGAAGTCATTGAAAGTTTGGGTGTTTGCTTTTTGTATTCTGAGGAGATCTGGTAGGAAGCCACAAGTTTTATGGCATAGAGAGAGACTCTGGCAGAAAAAAGGCTAAATCCCCTGACGGTGACATATAAACTGGATTAGAAGTGTAAAGTTTGTGGGAATATGTTTGGAAATAATTATTTAGGAGTGTTTCAATAGTGCAAAATTTGGTATTACATCCTCAAACCCTGAATGAATATTCTAAAGTAAATTACCAAAAACTATCAAACTTTAACTGTGATTGTGTAAAAACTCTTAAAGACAAAAGAACATTTCAGTCTTGTAAAATCCACCCGTTTAAACTTTGAATATCTCTAGAAAGTTTCATTTTTAGTATTTTATTTTTATTTTGTGTATTTATTCTTGTTATTAATCTTTATATAACCAGGCAAATCCCATTAAGTAGAACACTAATCCTGATCAAGATGATAATTTTTAACTATGTTTTGTGTCTTTTTTTAATTTCAAAGTAAAGTCCAGTAATGGCTCCTAACAGAAATAAAGGTATTTCAATGGTTGTGTCCTGGCACCTTTAATAAAACTGCTGGACAGGAGATGTTGAATCCCAGATGTGCCTCAGAGTAAAATGGTACAATACATTCTATGGAGTCTTTATCTTTTCAAGTATTTGTCTTATGCATATACTTTATTTCACAAAAGTCATGTAAAAAAACAACTTACCGGCCTGTTTTCATACTCCAGGAAAGGACAGGTTATCAGGCAGTCCTTCAGCAGGATTTTCCCTCGCTGACACGAGTCCCGTTTCCCTTCTTTATACTTGTAATAAAGCAGCTTGTCTGGTGTCAGCACAAACCAACGCGCCTTCCAGTTGTGAACAATGTGGCCCTGGATAACCCAACATGAAATGAAAATCCCTCTCTCAGGTCGACACAAACTTTCTGTTTTTTATTAAGGGTCTTACCCTCTTGACCAGGAAGCCTTCTCTCAGAGGACCGTTGCTCCCGTTTGGATCCATGAGCTGGACAGGTAATGTTTGTCTCTTCCTGTCTGCTCTTGTTTTAAAGGTAGAGGAGGAATGTGTCACTCTGTTCACACCCTCACACACTCCTTTTTAACCTTTAGAACAGGGCTCAGTCTGCGGGGTGAGGGTGGGGGTGGCTCTCCTGATGGCTGATTATGTCTGAATTTCTTGACTACAATCACAAAAAGGGTTACATCATGTCATCTGACATGATGTAACCCTTTTTGTGATTTATCTACCTTAATGGTTGATCATTCTAACCTTTTTCTTAAGATGAAGTGAAACCATGACTGATCATTGGACCGCTGAATGGCCAGATGAAAACCACTCCTTAATAAACGGCACATGGCAGCACATCTGGAGTTTAAAAGGCACCTGAAGGACTCTCAGACCACGAGAAACTAAACTCTCTGGTCTGATGAGACAAAGATTGAACTCTTTGGTGTGGATGCCAGGCGTCATGTTTGGAGGAAACCAGCTCCTCACCAGAACAATACCATCCCTACAATGAAGCACGGTGGTGGCAGCATCATGCTATGGGGATTTTTTCAGCAGGACAACGACCCAAAGCACATGGCCAAGATCTCACAGGAGTGGCTTCAGTACCGCTCTGTGAAGGTCCTGGAGGGGTCAAGACAGAGTCCAGACTTGAACCTGATTGAACATCTCTGAAGATCTCTGAAAATGGCTGCACATACGTCTCCATCCAACCCGATGGAGCTTGAGAAGTTCTGTAAAGAAGAATAGGACAGTCTAAAGACAGATGTGCTGAGCTTGAAGCATCCGGAGGCCGTGATTGATGCCAACTTTGGATCAACAAAGTATGAAGCAAAAACTGTGAATATTTACGTAAATTAATTTCTTAGTTATTTATTTTTAATAAAATTTGCAACAATTTCAACAAATGTCTTTTTTCACACCATCATAACGGAGTATTGTGTGTAGAACTTAGAGAAAATAGATCAGTTTAATACAAATGAAATAAAGCTGTAACAACAAAATGTTTAAAAACTGAAGCGCTGTGAATAAATGGTAAATGAACTGTACTTACTCTGCTCCTTTCTGTACTCGAAGCTCTTTACAACACAATCTGTGTCCTCAATTATACACACACACACACACACGCACACACACACACGCACGCACTCACGCACGCATGCACACACCCATTCCTACAGCTATCTACTACATCTCTACAAAGATGATCTGAATCCGTAGAGAGTAATCAGAGCTTTATCACATTCATACACCGATGGGACACACAGAGGCAATGAAGGGTTCAGTGTCTTGCCCAGGGACACTTCAACATGTGACTGCAGCTGGAATCGAACCCCCAACTCTCCCATTGGAGGACGACTGTTCTGACCGCTCAGCCACAGCTGCCCCAAACCGTGACAATGCCGGCCTGTGGCTCCAGCTGTCCACCAGATGTCTCCACGATTGAAGCTTTGAATGTTTTCTGTACAGTTATGACGTCACATGCTCCGCACTAGTTCAGAAAAACTCTCATCTCCAGAACTACAAACTTTTATATTCCAGTCCCTCAGAGACGGAGGACATCGACGTGACGCTTGTAGAAAGTAGATTTCCTGCTTCCACGTCATGGTTTGCTTCTTAATAAGAGCTTTTTAAAATCTGTTTTCTTGAGTCCAACCTTTTAAATCTGGCAGATGTTATGTTATATGCAGATTAGATGCAGCCTCCAAAGAATCATAAAACAAATGTCGACCAGTGAGCTTCTGAAAAAGACTGTGTTGATTAACAGCACATGCTTTGCACAAACTCCTCAAGCTGAAAGAAAAGACGAGACTTTTCTCTCAGACACTGAACTCCACATCACAGCTACCAGCTGCTGGGCTTTACAAACAACCATAGTATTTTTTCATCAAAACATTCCCTTTACTGACCCTAACCCTTGAGCAAATGAGCTCCTGCTTCTCGTCACAAGGGTGCAGCAGCGATCTCAACCGGGCCGAGGTGTTCTGTGTGCAGAACCGTCCCAGCTTCACTCTCCATCTCTTCAGGCATGCGAGGAATCTGGGTTCAAGTCATGAGAGCAGCAGCTGGTGGTCAGTCACTGCCCTCGCCTCTGCAGCAGCTGCAGCCAATCAGAGGAGAGGGCTGCTCTCCTTCAGATGGACTCCCCAGGTACGGAGACAAGCAGAACCACTGTGTCCAGCTCTGCAGAACATTTCTTCTGGTTCAGCTTGTCCTCTTTGCTGGGGTTTTATGAAAGGTGACCAAAATGACTTCTCCATCGTTTCATGAATGATCCGAGTCTGAAGCTCTGCCTGAAAGGTGGCGGGTGACATGCATTCTGTCAAGAAGTGCCACGCCTTCCTTTCACGAGGAATGTTCTGCGTATAAAAAGTAAAAAGCTGTCTCTCTTGTGTTGAGCCAGGTATTTTGAGGATCATTCAGTTTAAAGTTTGACACTCCATCTGTCCTGTTTGATAAAACTCTCCGGATGAGAACTGAAGCATCTTCATGTTCCTGAGATATCTGCATTTTTTACACCGAGTTAAGAAAACTCACAGCGCTGACGCTCTTCTGTCCTTCATCCATCCATCCATTTTCTTCTGCTTATCGGGGGGTAGCAGCTTAAGTAGGGAGGCCCAGACTTCCCTCTCCCCAGCCACTTGGTCCAGCTCCTCTGGGGGAATCCCAAGGCGTTCCCAGGCCAGCCAAGAAACATAGTCCCTCCAACGAGTCCTGGGTCTTCCCCTGGGTCTCCTCCCTCCTGTCCTTCACTGCAACAGAAACTGGATTCCCTTCAGGAGCTGAAGCTCCACAGGTGGACTGAAGTCTGTCTTTCTAAACATAAAGCATGAGGGTGTCCTGCAGTAAAGAGCAGATGATGAACACCATCTGTTTAGAGTTGTGTCTGCTCCGAGTGTATTCATAACGCAGACTTTTTCCACGAGTGAGGAGATAGTTTATGAAACCAAATGAAAAGTAGACAGAACTAGCCTGAAAGATGGGTGTTACAGAAAATGAGACATGACTAAAAGTTATGAGATTTCTGCAGAAATTTGAAGGGTGTTTTTGCAGCTGCTGCCAAAAACTTCAACATATTTTAGTGCTCTAATTCAGTGGTTCCCAACTCTGGTCCTTGCGGAACACCATCCTGCATGTTTTAGTTGTTTCCCTGCTTTGACACACATGATTTGAATGAATGGGTGATTAACAGGCTTTGGCAGAACTTGATGAAGTCATTAAATCACTTCAGGTGTGTTGGAGCAGACAAACAACTAAAGCATGCAGGATGGTGTTCCTCAAGGACCGTGGTTGAGAACCATGCTAATCTAATGAAGGAGATGCAAAAAGATGACCAAGATGAAAAGTAAAGTCAAAGGTGCTGCCAGTGGCTCATTTTGGTCAGGATAGAAATACACCCTGAAAAATAAGCCTGAAGCTAACAGTCACTGTGTGAAAACTACAAATCAGATTTTAAAATGCTTGAGCAGCAGAAGACTGATGCTCACACATGTGGGTTTTTATGGTTTTCTGCGTTTTACGCAGGAGATGTGAAGAGTTAAAGAAAATGAAGAGCTAAAACTTAAACAGGCCAAAAGACCAGTTCAGCCATGTAAAGTCCAATTTTCTGTGACACGTTTGTTCTGACGTTTGTAATAAAATAGAGCAGATCAAAGAAGATAAATACCTTTGGGAGGTACTGCATGTGATAACATGGATGCTGTTTGGCTGTCATGTTGAATATTAGTGGATGTAGTGTTCTAAGAATTAATAGTTTGGCAGTTGTTCGGTGAGCCGTTAACCTCACCTGGACAAAGACTGACGTTACGACTGATGAGGTACTAACTATTGAGAATTATTTGATGGAACATCACTTCAAAACCATCAGACACCCCTTTACAAAAAGAAAAAGTACCAGGATGTTTCAGAGAGGGTTTCTCCTCGCTGCTTCGACATTCCTGTAACTTTTCTGCTGCGTCTCCCAGGTGAGGAACCTGAAACAAACACGCAGTCATGAGGAAGCTGGAAGCAGCTGTGGTGGCCAGCAGCCAGGACAATGTGCTGCACAAACAAGAGAAGCTGTAACTCAAAACATTAAAACCTTCTGGAAGTGAGAGTGACAGACGATTCCCTGAGGTGGGAACAAGATGTTTGGCCCAGTGACGGGTGAAGGTGTGTCTGGTATTCCCCGGTGTAACATTAACCGTAAATCAAACAGAAACTCTGGGGAGATGATGATGTTTCTTTTGGCACGCCAGGATCTGAAAGGTTCTGACGCAGGCCGGCCCGTTGTCCCGGCCACACACTCGACAAAGACAAACACCCGGAAAACTCTGTTTTCTTAGTCCACACTCTTATTTATCTGGGTGTGGGTTTGAGAGTCCACAGCTGGTTACACAGAACATGTCCCTCAGTCTCAAGATTTATTGGACTGACGTCAGGACGTCCCTCAGATGATGACAAACACCGCAGAGTCCAAAAGGATCCATTGTTTGCTGTTTGGAAACTGTTCAGAGCCGTTTACCTTAACTGACATCATCATTTTAGATCTGCTGGATCTGTTGAGTTCAGAGCTCACCAGAAAACAAAAACAGCTCTGGTGAAAGTTACTCATGATATTCTCAAGCAGTGGACATGATTCCGTGCTTGTCCTGTTAGACAGTGGACATGTGTCCGTGCTTGTTCTGTTAGACAGTGGACATGTGTCCATGCTTGTCCTGTTAGACAGTGGACATGTGTCCGTGCTTGTCCTGTTA